CTTGAGAGGATGAAATATAAGATAGACTTCGGTGGAAAGGGAAGTGATGGGTGACCTGGGTGGCTGGAGAGCGCGTGAGGATCTTGAGCACTGCAGGGCACAGCTCGGAGAACAGGGCCCGAGGAGATTATTCTGATCAGGACCTCCCCCGCTCAAAAGCTTCCAAACAATTTTAAGCCCTGACTGATATCCAAGGCCCTCCACAACGTGACCTAATGTTATCTTTCAAGGCGTACATGTCAGCACTCTACCCCTCCCCTTCCCTGAACAAGATTCCTCAATGGATGTGCCATGTGCTCTCCTGCCTCATGCCTTTCCTCATACCATTTCTTCTGTCTAGAAGAAAGTTCCTTCCCTACTCTCGGATAGAAATCTATCCACTCCTTTTTTTTTTGGAAAGGTTTTTGCTATAGGGCGCGTGTGCTCAACAGAAAGACAGAGACAGAGAGACAGAGACAGAAAGCGAGAAATCACCCCCCAGGGGGGATGGCCACGCTGCAATCCCTTCTCCTGCATTCTCCTCTCGGGATCTTGGGCACGCACGCACACACACCAGGTGTGAGTCTAAGCCACCGGGTCCAGGACTCAAACTGCGGTTGACTACGTGGGAGTCTGGAGACATAGCTATTATGCCATCTGCTGGTCTGAATCTATCCATTTTCTTTTCTTTTCTTTTCTTTTTTTTTTTTTTGAGAGGTTTTTCACTATAGGGCGTGTGCGCTCGCCAGACAGAGACAGACATAGAGACAGAAAGCGAGAAATCACCCCCCAGAGGGGATGGTCACGCCGCAATCCCTTCTCCATTCTCCTCTCAGGATCTTGGGCACGCACGCACACGCGCCCAGTGTGAGTTCTAAGCCACCGGGTCCGGGACACAAACCGCGGTCGACTACATGGGAATCCAGAGACATAGCCATTACGCTAACTGCTGGTTCCCGAATCTATCCATTTTCAGGACTAGCTCAGTGCTACCTCCCCTCTGACCATCATGGCCAAAAATCAACTTTTCCTGTACAAGCAAATGCCTTGAGCCCGCTCTCCAAGCCGCTCTTACAGCATTAATTACATGCTGCCTTGTACCTGTTGAATACATGAGTGCATGCATGCACTAACTTAACAATGCCAAACATGAGGCACTGCGGGTTACGAGAGACAAGACATGGGGGCCAGCAGATGGCAAGGTGGTTAAGGGTGGACTCCCATGTGGCTGACTGTGGCGCAAGTCCCAGACCTGATGGCTTAATTTCTCACTTTCCCTCTCTCCTTCACTCTCTCTCTGGTCAAACTAAATAATAATAATTATGATAATAAATAAAGTTAAATAAAATTAAAAACAAAAAGGAAGACAAGACATGGCCCGTTTTCAAGGGTCTTATATATTCTCTAAAACAAAAGGTGAGGGACCAGCAGTTGGCATAACGGCTATGTCGCTGGACTCCTATATAGTTGACCACGGTTTGAGTCCCAGACCCGATGGCTTAAATTCATGCTGGGTGTGTGTGCGTGCGTGCCCAAGATCCCGAGAGGAGAATGGAGGAAAAGGGATTGCGGCGTGGTCATCCCCTCTGGGGTTGATTTCTTGCTTTTTGTCTCTCTGTCTCTCTCTGTCTTTCTGGCGAGTGCACGTGCCCTATAGCAAAAACCTCTCAAAAAAGGAAAAAAAAAAAAAAAAGTGCCTGTTGCAGCCATTGTTCATTCCCAGGGACAGACTAAACAGACACACACAACCCGGGCCAGGAAGGACCTTCCCTTCTCTACCCTTTTCCTGAGACAGATTTTTCTCTCTTACTTGTTTTATGCTTTTCCACTGTAAAGGTGACTTTGGGAAATTCCTTGCTTGTTAATGAGTATGCATAGCACAGGATTCTTCGGAGCAGAAGCAATTTACTACAATGCAATCAGTAAGGGCCAGACTTTAACATTTCTGAGCTCTAAGCTAAAAAAGATTCCGACCTGGGGCCGGACAGTAGTATAATGGTTAAGGCGCTGGACTGTCGAGTGGAAGGCCACCATTTGAGCCCCGGATCCGGCGGTTTAAAACTCACCCCAGGCATGCATGTGTATGTGCCTAAAAGTCCTGAGAGGGGAATGGAGAAGGGGTTACATGCTCCCTGGGGGGTGATTTCTCACTTTCTGTCTCTGTCTCTCCAGTGAGTACATTTTCCCTATAGCAAAACTTTCTCTAAAAAAAAAAAAGAAAACAAAAGAAAAAAAGGATGGGGCCAGCAGAGAGCATAATGGTTACATTGCTGGACTCCCACATGGCTGACCGTGGTTCAAGTCCTGGCCTGGTAGCTTGAAACTCAATAGCCGGCATCTCTGTGTGCGTGCCCAAAAGTCCCGAAAGAATGAAGGAGACGGGTCTGTAGCATGGTCATTTCCCCTGGGTAGTGATTTCTCACTTTCTGTCTTTCTTTCTCTGTCTTTCCAGTGAGGAGCAAGCATCCTATAGCAAAAATCTTACCAAAAAAAAAAAAGATTTCCTGCTGGGATTGTAAGGTGTTTTGTCAATCATCAGCTCTACAAACATGTCAATATTTAGAGATTAAACAGAAATATTAAAAACTCTGTACGTTGGGACCAACAGATGGGGTAATGGGTACGTCACTAGACTCCCACATAATCGACTGTGGTTCGAGTCCCAGACCCGGCAGTTTGAAACTCACCCCAGGTGCGTGTGTGTTCATACCTAAAATTCTGAGAGGAGAATGGAGAAGGGACTGCAGTGTGGTCATCCCCCTGGGTGGGGGGTGATTTTTTGCTTTCTGTCTCTGTCTCCCTGGCGAGCACACACACCCTCTAGCAAAAATCTCTTAAAAACAAAAAAGCCTCTTTAAGTTGAGGGGCCAGCAGATGGTGTAATGGTTACGTCACTGGACTCCCACATAACCGATCGCAATTTAAGTCCTGAACCCCATAGCTTGAAACTCACGCCAGGCTCATGTGCATACATGCCCAAGATCTCAGGAGGAGAACGGAAGAGGAGGGATTGTGGCTATCCTCCCGGGGGGTGATTTCTCACTGTCCCTCTCACTTTCTGTGTCTCTCTCCAGAGAGTGCACGTGCCCTAAGGCAAAAACCTCTCAAAAAAAAAAAAATTTTTTTTAAGCTCTGTAACTCATGCAACAACAGCTAGGCACATTACCTAATGAAAAGGACACTGGTTTTATTAGAGATGCCCACGTTTAAGTCCCTGACCCACTGTAATTTGCTGTGTAAACTCAGGCAAGCTACTTATCACCCAGCTAGAAAGTAGGACTATAAAGTGACGCTGACGTAGCACCCTCCTCACAGGTGTTGTGGAATTGTATCTAACGTAGTAGGCATAGGGAAGGTCGTGGCATATTCTCCTTTGCAAAAATGCCCCGTGACTTTCCTGATGACCCAACATACACTGCCGAGTAGAGCCTGGCACACAGCATGCCCTTCATAGACATCACTTCCTCTCCTTCCCATTGACTTGACTGTTTACTGACGTTACTGTCTTCATTGCCAGAGGGCACATACACTCACCAGAGAGAGACAGAGGGACTAAGGAGGGGAGGGAGAGAGAGCAATGCAGAAAGTGCTTCCCAATGAGGCATGCTTATGCCGCCATCCCTGCTCCGTTTCTCCAGCCTGTCAAGATTTGGGGCACGCACACACATCTGGTGTGTATTTCAAGTTGTCAAGGCCAAGTTCAAGCCAAGGTTGGCCATGTAGGATCTTGCTCCCTTAACCACTTGGCTACAGGACTGGTCCTCACTTTTTTTTTTTTTTAAAGAATTATTTGTCTTTCAGAGCCAGCAGATGGCATAGTGGTTGTGTCGCTGGACTCTCATATGGCTAACCACGTTCAAGTCCCAGACCCAGTGACTTGAAAATCACACCGGGTGCATGTGCATGTGTGCCCAAGATCCCAGAAGGAGAATGGAAGAGAAGGGACTGCAGTGTAGCCACCCCTTTGGGGAAGGAGGTGATTTCTCACTTTCCCTCTCAATGTCTGTCTGTCTCTCTCTCTCGTGACCACATGTGTCCTAAGGCAAAAATCTCTTAAAAAAATAATTGTCTTTTAATTTTATTTATTATTATTTTTAATTTGATGAGAGAGAAAGTAAGGAAGCCGCCAGGTCCACAACTTGAACTGCAGTCAGCCATGTGAGAGTCCAGTGCCCCAACCACTACTGCCACCTGCCAGCCTCCTCACTTTGAGGTAAAATTCCTTCAAATCCAAAGAGATCTGTCTCAGAACTATAAACATAGGGATTTCCAAACTTTCTGGCAAGAAGATGCCACTCAAGTGAAATCTATTACTTTTTCCTTGTTTTTTTTTTTAAAATAATCACACAACTGACACTGACAGCACCTAATTAATATGAGGAAAACTGCTATTTTATCATCAAAAGCAACAAAAACAAGCATGGCTAACCTACAGATAAATGTATGGTTCTGGTTGGCTTTCTGAACTCTGCAAACAGATAATAAACCTCTCAGGAACCCCTCGATGGAGTCGAGAACCTTTGTTTAGAAGTCCAAGGAACACTTGAGGCGGCGCACTCCCTGTGTCACCTACACAAATAGACAACCTCCCGCTCCCAAACGAAGGTCGGAAGAGACGATGACAGCAGGTACGGGGTCAGAACACAATAGGTCTCGCCTGCTGAGGCTGCTCCTACTCCTGCACTGCCCTGCCCTTCCTCCACATGGTCTCTACCTGTTTAGCCCCAGCACAGAGATCACAGGAGAGAACCACAGAACAGTACCTGGTAAGTGCCTACTGCTAGCTGGTTAAAGGCAGATGTAGAAAGAGAGGACGGGGAAGGAAAGGCAGCTACTGAGGGCTTACTCCTAAGCAGGAGCTCTGCAGATTAGCATTTCACCTTAGTGTCGCTCTATCTACCACTAAAAACCAAAGCTCTCAAAGGTTACCCAAGTGGCCAACACCCCAGCTCAATCTGATTTACTGCAGTGTTCTATGCTTCGGGTGGAAGGACTTTAGCCTTCCCAAACCTTTTACCTACTCAATGATAACATTGTTGGGATCGAGGTCTTTCCCAGTCCCTTGGTTGACAACTTTCATGGAGAGGGATACTTTTATCCTATCATTTTTCATCTGAAAAAGACAAAAGCAAAATCACCAAAAACTCTAAGAACATCATTTAGACTGCCAGTCTACAGTTATCTGAGAATCAACGCTTTCATCACCCTAACCAACAGAGCTCTTCTAACGGACAAGGTGCTGGGAACACGGAGAGTGCGACGAGGCACAGACCCTGTGGCTGAAGTATTTTAGGAATTGGTTTTTATCTCATTCCTATTCCTTTGAAGAAAAGACAGAAATAGCTGCTCAGAAATCCAAAATTAGGGAGGTATTTAAGCAGAAAATAAAAGCTGTTTCTTCTAGAAAAGTTCAGCATAGGGACTGGGTCAGCGATCTCTAAGCCCAGAATGGGTTTTAGAACATTCTAGGAGACTAGAGCTCTTTTCGGACTTGGTCTAGAGGTTCTTTAAGCTCGAAGACCTCAACAGTCATGCTGGTCTTCTGATTGCTGCAGCGTCTGAAGCCCACATCGGTCTTCACTCCGGCAGCTATTCTCTGGGCCTGGAATGTTCTTATCTCAACTCTTTGTAGGACATGGGACGAATTCCTTTCTTTCCCCTCTTTCACTTTTTGTCAGCGGGCGTGTGCACTCCCCAGAGACAGAAAGAGAGGGAGGGAGAAAGCACTTCCCAATGGGGCGTGCTCACACCACGACCCCTTCTCCATTTCTTCACCCTGCTGGCGTTGGGGCACGCGTGTGCAAAGCTGCTGGGGCCAGGACTAGAGTCGTGCGGCTGGCTACTAGGGTCTGGCTGCCCAAGACCAAGCTATGGAGCCAGTCCAACTAACTCCTTCCCTAGGTTTCGACCCAGATACCATCTCCTCAGAGAGCCCTCTCCTAACTACTTTATTCACATCTACCTTCAGTATTGTTTGAACCCAATAGAACACCTATTACAGTTTGCAGTTATTTCATTTACATGTTTACTTCTTAAAATCTCTCTCCTTATATGTTACATAAACGCTATACTAGCTGGGGTAGTTGATGTCTGGGTCGCACTCTCGTAGCTGCCAAGCCTAGCACATACTAAACTCAAATACTGTTGAACAACAGCTTGCCAGGCTGCTCATGCCTTCCACTCTCTGCTAGAAAGCGGGAGTCAGTGCATGTCCATCTCTCTCCCACACGTACCCACACCACAGCGCTACACTTTCACAGTGAGCTGTTACTAACAGAGCCTTTGAGACCTTTCTCACTTTCCCACATCTCGTGGTGCCAGACACTAGGAAATGACTGAACGCTCTCCAGCCCTCTTTCTTTGGTCCAATTGAAGGAGATCCGCCAAGTATTCTCTGACCGTAATGATCAAGGCTGGTTCCACAGATTAAGTTTCCTTTTTTCTTTCTGGTTCTTTTCTTCTCCCCCCGTGCCGTGTGGGTAAAGGGAGGGCAGGGGTTTCTCAGCCACGCACTCACTGCAGCTCAGGTGACCTCCTTCTCACTCTGCAGAACCGCCAGCCAGAAAGTCTCAGTTCACGACAGATTACAGTGGCAGGATGTAAAAATTAAGTGATCTGCTACAATTACCAATTGCACACGTATCATCATAAAAGACCAAGAAAATACCAACTTTTGCTAATTCTTTCTAAACACATGAAAATTGCAAGAGCTTTACCTCTCGGCCAATCAACTTCACCCACACTTTGTCTCCGACGTCCACTATCTCAGAAGGCTTATCCACCCGGCAGGATGACATGTGTGTTCGATGGACCAGACCTGGGTACGAGTAGAGAGAAAATAAAGCAGGAGGCATGTGCAGTAGCACTCTCTGAATGACTGGGTAAGAAAACAGGAGTGGGGGATGCCAGGGGAAAATGTTCATTAATTTAAAATTACAAATTAAAACAATTTGAGATCTTTTTTATACCTGACCAACTAGGAAACATTATCTAAAATAATGCTCAGTGTGAGTAAAGATGTGATAAAATAACTAATCGCATAGCTTAGTCCATCGAGGCACCTCACCTCCTTGGTCACAGTAACTGACTGCTTCAGGGACCAACACAAGAATACTGCTCCATCACCTTTCTCTGGAGTGTCACGATTACAACTACAAAAACCCTGCAAACCCATCACTACCACCAGGTGGCAAAGCAGGCCAGAGGGAAGCAAAAAGGGCTGGCAAACGGGACAAAGCCATCAGGCTTGATCTGAGCACCAGAGCCGTCCAGCTAGCTTCATCCAGGAAGCCTGCACACACTGGCTACAACAGTGCTGCAATGTTTCTGTCCTTGCAACCAAGAAGTGGAATTGCTGATTTCACCCACAACTGCTTCTGAGAGCTTGTTCTACAGTAATAATCTTACATTTGTCTTAGGGAGCATGCTCTTGCTGGACAGAGACAGAGAGACAGAGAAGGAGGGAGAGAGTGAAAGTAAGAAGTAACATCCCAGGGCAATGGCCACACTACAATCTCCTCTCCAACATTTTCCTTGCTGGATTTTGGACATGCACGAACATGTGCTGGTGTGTTTTTCACCTTGTCCAAGATTCAAACAGTAGAGCTGGCCAAGTGGGATCCAGCACTTTGACCACCATGGCACCTGCTGGTCCCTAGGGTGTAGGATTTTCAAAGTGCAGACGTTAGTAGTTCATTACCAATAGGCCAGAGCTTACACAACGAATAAAACAAGGGTCACGGTCTAGCCCTCAGTCTTGAATGCAAGTGCCAGGCAGGCACCTGGACACATAAATCTGTAGCTGGGGAGGGTCTAAGCCAGAGCCAGGACTACAGCGTGTGGCAGTAACTTCAGCATGCAGATACTCCACACCCAAACACCTGAGCCAGAATGTCACCACAGCGACTGATTGAGGGACTAACATTGTACGCTTTTTTTTTTTTTAGATTTTTTTTTTTTGCTATCTTCTTTGTCTTTTGTGTTCGCTTACCAGAAAGACAGAGAGAGAGACAGAGAGACAGAAAGCAAGAAATCACCCCCCCAAGGGGATGGCCATGCCACAATCCCTTCTCCTCCATTCTCCTCTCGGGATCTTGGGCACGCACGCACACGCATCCAGCGTGAGTTTAAGCTACCAAGTCCGGGACTCGAACCGCAGTCGACTACGTGGGAGTCCAGCAACATAGCCATTATGCCAACTGCTGGTCCCCTGAAGGTATACTTTTCTTACACCTAGGAGGTTCTCAGTTCTCATTTAAGCAAACTACTTGCTGCCCCCAGAATGAAAACCCTGAAATACCAGATCAGTGATCAGAACTTGTTTCAACATGGAATCAGAACCAAAGAGATACAAATGCTGAGATACCTTTCCATTCCATGAAGGCGTAAGGGATACTGCTTCCTCATAAGGGAATCCGTCCCTCTGTCTCTCTAGTTCTATCACCGGATGTATCTCTGCCCTGAGGGAGATGTGATAAACACGCCCAACTTCTTAGCCCTTCTGGGCTACGATCTTCACTAAGCTCCTCCTCTTCATATGGACTCTCACTAGAATACCACACAATTAGATTTTCGTCTCCTAAATCAGTTTCACCCCAATCCCTTTCCTCTGAAATCACACCCAGATTTTCTCGTCTAAGACTTGGTGCTTCCAGCCCTGCAATCACAGACAGACATCCGACTCTGCGGCGACCACAGCTCTGTGAGGGGCATTCTCACTCTCGGGGCAGTCCGACCCCCTGGGAGGGATTTCATAGTTACACACACACGCGGCCAAGAGCTGGAGCAAGGGCACAGTAAAGGACAGCAAGTAAAACGGCTTCCCTCCGGGCGGGTGTTACCAGGTACACCACTCCCATCCATTCACTGGAGCCGGGCGTCAGCTCCGACAGAGTGCAGCAAGAAATATCTAGAAGTTCCGTAATAGTCCAAGGTCACAAAGCTGGTGAATAACAGAACAGGAATGCAAGTGAGGCTGACAAGTCTCCTGTATTAGACCCACTTCTTTTTTTTTTTTTTTTTTGAGAGATTTTCGATAGCTACAGACAATAGCTACCCTAAGCAGAATCGAGAAGAATTTGCTTTATGAATGTTCTTCTATGAACTACTTTGTAATATATGCCTAGGAATGGGGTTGCTGGGTAGCAGGATTCACACTTATGCAACAAAGAAAACCTCTATTGCCTTCTAAATTGCACCTTCTAATATTTGCAAAATGATATGCCAGGTTATTATTGAAGTTAAATCTTTCCATGTACTTCCAGACATTAGGTTTGTTCTGTAGGTTTTCCTGTATTCTTATTGATTTGTAGTTCTTCTATATTCAAGATGTGAATTCCTAGTTGGTTTTTTGTTTTTTTGTTGTTGTTGTTGTTGTTGTTGTTTTTTTGGAGAGATTTTCACTGTAGGGCGCGTGCGCTCGCCAGACAGACAGAGAGAGACATAGAGACAGAAAGCGAGAAATCACCCCCCAGGGGGGATGGCCACGCCGCAATCCCTTCTCCTCCATTCTCCTCTCGGGATCTTGGGCACACACGCACACGCGCCCGGCGTGAGTTTTAAGCCACCAGGTCCGGGACACGAACCGCGGTCAACTACATGGGAGTCCAGCGACATAGCCATTACGCCAACTGCTGGTTCCCCCCACTTCATTTTTAACCCATCTATGTTACCTTTTCAACTACAGGAGGGAGCAATGAACTCGTACGAGCCGTGGACACACGGGTAATTCCGTTCTGGTATGTGTTCTGAGGTGAGACAGAAACAAACGAACAAAACCACTTCACACGGAAGGGAGGTCTTCAGAACAGTGTGCACTTGGGTTCTGACATCAAGTCACAAATGCTCAAAGGACGTATGAAGTCTACCGTTATGTTTGACAAACCCGACACCACACTTAAACAGAGTGAGCTGCATCTCAATGTCTGTTGGTAAAAAGAAGGGAAGAAAAAAAAAACCCACAAAACCGACAACATGGAAAAAGCTTGCTCCTCAATGACCACAGGAAAGTGACAGAATAAGCTGGTCACCCCCCCTCACAGGGTTCTCCCAACTGTGTTAGGTTCGACATGTATTTCTACTATTTTTTAAAAGAAATTAGTTTATTTAACTTTACATATGTATGTTTGTTTTTTTTGTAAATGAGGTTGTATTTTATTTCGTTCACTATAAACACTTGCACCTCTTCCTCAAGGGGGCTCTTCAGGTGCGTAGCTAAGACAAGAATAATTAACTAAGTTACCATCATGGCCATCGAGTGCTAAACGGAGTCCGGGAGGCATTGCGGGAGGGAGGCATTGCGGGAGGCATTGCGGGAGGCAGGCATTGCGGGAGGCATTGCGGGAGGCAGGCATTGCGGGAGGCATTGCGGGAGGCAGGCATTGCGGGAGGCATTGCGGGAGGCAGGCATTGCGGGAGGCATTGCGGGAGGCAGGCATTGCGGGAGGCATTGCGGGAGGCAGGCATTGCGGGAGGCATTGCGGGAGGCAGGCATTGCGGGAGGCATTGCGGGAGGCAGGCATTGCGGGAGGCATTGCGGGAGGCAGGCATTGCGGGAGGCATTGCGGGAGGCAGGCATTGCGGGAGGCATTGCGGGAGGCAGGCATTGCGGGAGGCATTGCGGGAGGCAGGCATTGCGGGAGGCATTGCGGGAGGCAGGCATTGCGGGAGGCATTGCGGGAGGCAGGCATTGCGGGAGGCATTGCGGGAGGCAGGCATTGCGGGAGGCATTGCGGGAGGCAGGCATTGCGGGAGGCATTGCGGGAGGCAGGCATTGCGGGAGGCATTGCGGAGAACGCTGTCCACCTTGAACGCCCAGTCTGTCTACTGACTATTGACAACCCCTCTCCCACTATCTTTTGTAACTGAATATCCACGCTTTTGTTGCTGTCTCCATCTGATCACTTCGTGAGCAGTCGTCGCTGGGTCTGACGCGGACACATGCATGACCTTTTTCCTAGTACCCACTCTAGTGCTCGCGAGGCAGCGGCACTCTCGGAGCGCGACACCTGCAACTGCAGCAACCAAAACCCGACACGCGACCCGAACGACGCCTCATGAGCGCCCGCCCGGCTGTGTACCTGTATGTATGTATTGTAATTGGACCAGAGAGGGACAGTGAAAGACAGAGAGAAAGAGGGAAAGTGAGAAAGCAAGCTGCCAGATCCGGACTCGAACCACGTTTGGCCTTGTGGGAGTCCAGCAACATAACTGCTTTGCAATCTGCTGGCCCCCCAAAAAATCTTTTTTTTTTTTAAAGAAAGATTTTTCTTCTATAGGGTACATACGCTCGCCAGAGAAAGACAGAAAGTGAGAAGTCACCCTGTGGGGGACGGCCACATTGCAATCCCCTCTCCCCCATTCTCCTCCTGGGAATCTGGGCACACATGTACACGCACCGGCCATGAGTTTCAAGCCACCAGGCCTGGGACTGAAACCATGGTCAACTATGTGGGAGTCCAGCCATGTAGTCATGACACCATCTACCAGCCCAAAGAAAGAACTTCTGAATTGCATCGAGCTTCTCTGTCAGCTACAGTAGTGAATAGCCATATCACTGTTTTAAGTTTAAATTCAGTTAAATAAAATTTAAATCAGTAGATATGGAACTGGATGGCACAGATGCAGGAAAACACAAAATATATTTGTTCTTTGTCGCAAAGGACTCCTACAATTATTGAGATTTCAAAAGTCATTGGAAGGTCTTTTGCTATTCATAAGTCCCTTTGAATAACACCTGACTTTATGCCAGTGTGGTGACAAAGTGAGGCCCCTAGATGGCTACAGGATGGAGCTGGTCACCAGAAAGACTGGGAAGAA